TCTGGACCTCCGGGGCCCACGCCTCGAACAAGACTGGAGCAGCTGGATGTCTGGGTACGTGGGTCTGGCGCGTGGGCACCAGATGCACGGAGTGGTGCGGAACGTGTAACCAGCGCCACCCGACTTGGTGACGGAGCGCGCCGATCCTGTACAACAGCGGAGCCGCAATGGAATCCATGCTCCTGAACCCCTGGTCGCGCTTCCTCATGCAGGGGAAGGCACCAAGCCGAGCGGCTTCTTTCGAAAAAGACAGAACGGCATAAACATAAAACTTTGGGCGCTCCGTGCGGGTTTCTTGGATCTGCACCAGACACCCATCCCTGGCGCGCGGAGCGCGCCAGGGGCGGCGCTGGAGGCGCCGCCAGGGGTGCCCAGCGCGGATCCACGAATCCGCGCGGAGCGCCGAACATTTATGTTTGTGGTTTATTTTTTCTTCGATTATTGGAAGGCCGTGGCATTTTAGAAACGCCACGGGTGCATCTTGAGGGGCCTGTTAGAAGCGGGGGGGTCTTTTGACAAAGCCATCTGCCCTTTGCGAGAACCCCCTCGTCTTCTCAGAAGGCCGCCCCCCTCACCCTCGCGCCAGCCGCTTGTGCGCACCGCCAACCTCCCCCTTCCCGCTAAAGGAGCCCAGGGAGACACGCAAATCAATAGATAAATGATTCTGCTTCGAGCGATCCCCACCAAAAACTTACGTGTTTTTTTTTCCGACGGCGCGCGATCGCCGAATTAGCCCACAACTGCCGTTCCTGGATTTGAAGACGGTTCAACCGAGCTCCATCTAGTCACGTTCTCTCATGTTGTGCTCTGTTGCCTTCTGTTCTGATCTCAACGGGCCTGTCTGACGTCGTGAGGCTTGCCACATTAGATGTGCCGTCTGTTATGATGTGCCTCTTCACGTATATGTTTCTCTTCTGGTTGGATCCGTGTTGTTATGGGCATATCTGCAACCATATGGTTCAACATGCTATGGTATGATCTGCTCAATAGCACTATGTTATGACATGACCTGCTATGCCAAATAATGACTTAGTGTGCTATGTTCCGTGATGCTGTTGACAACTCGGCTCAATCTAGTATGTTATGATACGCTATGCTAGTATGTTTCGCTATGAAATGATGTAGTGCTATAATATGTTATGTGATGCTGCCAGGCTATGGCATGACCTGCTAAGTCAGGGTGTGTGAGGCTATGCTATGTTGTGGTATGGTTTAGTATGGTGTGTAATGTTCGGCTCTGGTATGTTATGTGATTCTAGGTGTGTTGACGGCCCAACTCTGCGTAACATATCATGATCGGCTCTGCTAGAACGTGTCGCTGTGCTCTGCAATCGTGTTAGGATGCGGTCTGCTGTGCTGTGTTATGATACGCTATGTATTGTCACGATGTGATATGCCATGCTCTGTTATGGTATGCTGTGTTATGTTGTGCCAGGTCGTCTTCTGTTCTGTCAAGATATGCTGTGGTGCGTTCTGTAAAGTTCGACTGTGCTCAAATTTGTCATGAACGTGCTTTGTTATCTTCTGCCATGGTCTGTCATGCTCGTGGTCTGCTCTGTCATGTTCCGTCGTGTCGTGCTGTGCTCTGTCGTGTTCATCGTCGCTATGCTCTGCTGTCGTGTACCATGTGCTCTGTGATGCTGTGTCATGACATATTATGTTATGTCCAGGTGTGTTATGTTATGTTCGGCTCTGTTAAGCTACGTTGTGTTCTGTCGTCTTCTGTTCTGGCATGCTCTGCTCTAGTATGTTCTGCGATGGTATGTTATGCCCTATTTTGTCATGGCATTGCTATGCTCGGTTCTGCCAAGTTCGATCATGCTCAAATTATGTTCTGTCATGCTATGCTGCGTCCTGTTGTGTTCTGTCGAGTTCGTCGTCGCTATGCTCTGCTGCCGTGTTATGATATGTTCGGTGATGCTGTGCCATTGCATGATATGGTCTGTCAATGTGTGTTATGGTACGCCCGGTAATATAACGTTATGTTGTGCTCTGCCGCCTTCTGCTATGTCATGTTCTGCGATGGACTGTTATGTGATATTATGTTATGCCCTATGTTGTCATGGCACTGTTATGGTATGTTCTGCCATGGTCTGTCATGCTCTTGTTCTGCTATGTCATGTTACGTTGTGTCATGCTGTGTAACATCGTGTTCGTCTTCGCTATGAGCTGCAGCCGTGTTATGCTATGTTATGTGATGCTGTGCCATGGTACGAGATGTTCTGTCAATGTGTGTTATGGTGTGATCGGCTATGCTATTTTATGTTGTGTTATGGCATATCATATAATGTCCTGTTCTGTTATGGTATGCCATGGGGTATTATGTTATGGTCGACCTTGTCATGATATTGATGTGTTATGTTCTGTCACGATCTGTCGTGCTCGTGTTCCGTTATGTCATGTTCTGTTCTGTCATGTTGTGTTCAATTGTGTTCGTCGAGGGCGCGAGGCGGAAACACGGTATTCTCAGGGATCATCGGGACATCTTGGGATCTGGCGGCCGCAGTATGCAGGGTGGGGCTGGCCGGGCGCGAGGCGGAGCATCGGGGATACTCGGGATTCTCACGACAGCTTGGGGTCTGGCGGCCGCGGTAGGGCAGGGTTGGCCCGGCGCGAGGCGGGACATCCAGAATACTCGGGATTCTCGGGACAATTTGGGGACTGGCGGCCGCGGTATGCGCGGTGGGGTTGGCCGGGGGGGCCCGTTCTTGAAATCTAACAACCCCAACCTGTCGGGTGTGAAACTAATGCGTAGTAAGTAAATCAATAAAAAAAGCGGATGGGTGAATTAATCAACACAAAGTATGTGCATATATAGATATATACAGGTCTGCATTGGCGCTTCGCGCCATGCGCCTTGTTCCTGACGCTTCCCTGGCAAAGCAATGAATCATCGCTTGCTTCAGAAAAGGGACCTCGAGGCCTGGACGGGCGACCGGCTCTTCATGGGAGGAGGTAGAGAGAAACGTTTCGTCTGGCTTTTTTCATCGGCAACCTCCAAGGTTTATCCCTACCCATCTCTTCCTCCGTCTTTCCTCCTCTTGCGCCTCCTCAGGTGGTCGAGTCCATCCTTTGAGGAAATAAGGAGCTGTCCCACGACAAGCAGAAGAAGTCGCAGTAGCTCCGAACAAATCGATGTTTGGTCGCTTCCTGAATGCCTGGAGGGCTCCAGGCACTCAGGAAACCTTCGATCGTCGAACTTCGAATAAACTCGAGCCTCAAGCGTGGAACCAAGGTCTTCGGGTCAGCTCGATGTACTTCGTAGAAGAACGTCATCTGGGCGTTTTGGGTTTTTTTGAGGGCCGTCCTGGGGCCCTCTTGGGCCGTCCTGGGGCCTTCTTGGGCAGTCTTGGGGAGCTGGGGCTCCAGAGGTCTTCTGAAGCCATCTAGGGCCCTCTTGGGGGCGTCCATTGACCTTCTTGGGGGTCTCCCATGGCTTTCGTGGGTCTCTCTGGGGAGCCTTATGGGGGCATCTTGGGCTTCTTGTGACCAGTCTCGGGGCTCTCTGGGGCAATTTTGGGGCCCTCTCGGGCCGTCTTCAAACCCTCTGGGGGGCCAGTTGGGCCGTCTTGGGGCGATATCAGGGGCCCATCGGGCCGTCTTGGACGCTGCGAAGACCCAAAAAGCGGACATGCTAAAAATATACATCTCCTGGACGATGTTTGTTTTTTCGGGGCTCTCTGAACGGCTTCTTGGGGCGTCTTGGGGTCCTCTTGGGCCGTCTTCAGACCATCGAGGTTCCTCTTGCAACGCTCTTGTGATATCTTGGGTCTCTCGTGCGCCTTTCCTATGACCTCTCTGATCGCCTTGAGTCTGCTCACAAGGCCCGGCAAGGCGCAATGGGAGGCTCGGAAGGGCCAGCGGACCTTCTCAAAGGGCGTCCAGGGGGCCGCCAAGACGTCTGAAAGGGCGTCCATGGCGTCACTTGGGGGGGAGTCCGGTTAAGGGGGGGAGAAAGGGGGGGGGGCTTACGGGTCATAGAAACATAGGAATAGGGATATACAAGTTCCAACGACTCCCGTGTCCATCTATTTCGTCTTCCCCCGTTCCCATCGATTCCCACATGATCGATTAGGTCGGCGGACTTATATCACCTATACGACCAGCCTTCGGGTGATAAGGAGGTTGTGTGTGGGGTGAGAGGGGGGAACCAACATCTGACTCAATCGATCTCACTATCGATCTCACTCAACGGGACACGACGGGACACCACGGGACCCCTCGGGACACTTGTCGATCTCACTGTCGGTCTAACTATCGATCTCACTCAACGGGACACCACAAAACACCACGGGACACCACGGGACACCGCCGGACCCTCTCGATCTCACTATCGGTCTCACTATCGATCTCACTATCGATCTCACTCAACGGGACACCATAGGACACCTCGGGACACCTCATCGATCTCACTATCCATCTCACTATCGATCTCACTATCGATCTCACTATCGATCTCACTCAACGGGACACCACGGGACACCATGGGACACCTGTCGATCTCACTATCGATCTCACTATTGCTCTCACTTTTTAGGACACCACGGGACACCAAGGGACACCTCGAGGCACCACATCGATTCCAATATCGATCTCAATATCGATCTCAATATCGATCTCACTCAACGGGACATCACGGGACACCGCGAGCCACCGCCGGACGGACGGACGGGAACGAAACATTTGTCTTGACTTCGCCCTAACAACGGCGGACACCACGGGACACCACAGAACACCACGGGACACCGCTAGGGCCACCGCCGGGCGGACGGACGGACGGACGAGGGAACAACATTTGTCTTGACTTCGCCCTAGGAACGGCGGGTTCATTCCTCTCGCGCGCCCACGCAGCTTCGCCTCGCCCGCACGCACGACACGACCGAAACGAAACGATTTCCCGGTTGGGGGTCTCCGTTCCACTGCGATCTCACCCCCCAGCCTACGATTCTATTTAATATGTGTGTCTTTGTCCATGTTTCTCTCCTGACCCTTCCCCTCCACCCCACAATCTGAGCGCCTCCGCGTCGCTGCCCAATACCGCCCTCGAGAGGGGCGGGATACCTCCCGCCGGGAACTTCGTCGTTCCTCAATTGTTTTTCTGCCTCTCGACCGTCGCTGGGTACCCCACACCGAGCAGGTCGGGCGAAAACGCGTGCAACGCCCTTGGCATTGCCCCAGGGCTCCCGCTCCCCCTTTTCGGGGGGACGCCGCCTACGGTCGGGAAGATTTGCTTAGCGTGTCGCGGCGGCGGCCCCGGCGACAGGCTATGCCCTATGAGCTGGAGGCTGGGAGAGGCTCGGGACGTTGACGCTTGGGGACTGGGAAGTGGTGAGCGTGTCGCACCGAAACGAGATGGGTCAGAACCGGCGGAGCGACACGCTACGCCACAACTCCTGACCGTAGATCCGATCTGGCCGCCAGGAGGACTTCGGGTCCTCGCCCTGCCGGCCAAACCTCCGAGGTCAGCAGTCGTCCTGGTCCTCGGCCGCTCGTCACCCGTCACGCCTCCTTCTCCCTGCGCCGTCCCCAGGCGCTGCTCAGAAGTCCACGTCCAGGGCGAAACCCTTCGCCTCCTCGCCTCCCGCGGCCGTCGACGACATCACGCCAGCTTTCTGGTAGTCGCCGACGCGCTTCTCGAAGAAGTTGGTCTTGCCCTGGAGCGAGATGAGCTCCATCCAGTCGAAGGGGTTGGAGACACCGTACAACTTCGAATAGCCGAGCGCGACCAGGAGGCGGTCCGCCACGAACTCGATGTAACGGGTCATCGTCTCGCTGTTCATGCCGATGAGATCACAAGAGAGCGCCTCGCAGATGAAGTGCCGCTCCGTCTCCACAGCGCCGCGGATTATGCCATGGACCACCTCCACTGGGAGCTTGTTCTCCAACTTGCTGTAGATGAGGCACGCGAACTCCGTGTGCAGGCCTTCGTCGCGCGAGATCAGCTCGTTGGAGAAGGTGAGACCGGGCATCAGGCCGCGCTTCTTGAGCCAATAGATCGCGCAGAAGGACCCGCTGAACAGAATTCCCTCCACGGCCGCAAACGCGATGACGCGCTCGGCGAAGCTAGTCTTATCTGGGCTCATCCACTGCACTGCCCACTCTGCCTTCTCTCTGATGGGCGGCATGGTGTGAATCGCGTCGAACACCATCGCCTTCTCGGCGGGATCTCGGATGTATTGCTCGATCAGCAGCGAGTACGTCTCCGAGTGAATGTTCTCCATGGCCATCTGGAAACCATAGAATGCACGAGCCTCCGGCAACTGCACCTCGTTGGTGAACTGCGCCGCCAAGTTCTCCAGCACGATGCCGTCGGAAGCTGCGAAGAACGCTAGCACGTGCTTCACAAAATGCTGCTCGGACGTCGTCAGCGTCTCCCAGTCCTTGTTGTCCTGCGCGAGGTCGATCTCTTCGGCAGTCCAGAACGAGGCTTCGTGCTTTTTGTACATTTCCCAAATGTCAGAGTGCTGGATTGGGAGCATCACCCACCGACTTGGGTTCTCCTTGAGGATGGGCTCCTCCTTCTCCATCTCGCGGAACCGAGCCGACACGTCGGCGAGGTGCGTCGGCCGAGGGGCCGACGGCTCTGACGCCGCACCTCCAAGCATCGTGTCGAGGTCCGCTGGAAGCTGCAGGTCGTAGTTCTTGAGCACGACGCCGTCGCCTGCGATCAACGCCTGGTTCGGGAGGCCCCTCACCCCGAGCTTCGCCATCAAATCCTCGTCCTCGTCCGCGGCAGCGACCGTGCAGCAAGCGATGCCGTTCGTCGCGGCCCACTCGCGGGCCTCGTCGAGGCCGCCGTCGACGCACACCAAGAGGAACAAGCAACGGCCCGCGTACCTGTAGGGACAAGAAACGGCACACGCATGAAATGTCAGAACTGCGTGCGGGACTCCTGGATCTGCGCTGGACCCCCCCGCCAGTTGGGGGTCCCAAGCCGTGTGGTGACAGACCGCGCGGTGGCCTCGAAATCCCGAAGGACCTCACTGCACGGACCGTCGCCGCACGGCTTTGGAGCCTTCGAGGACCCAATCGCCCGCGACATCCCTGGAAAACGACCCGAATCCGAAAACCGTGCGGTGACCCCGAACCCCCGCTGACTCACCACGCGGCATGGTCACCACACCGTTTTGAGGCCCTCCGATCCAAGGCGCGCGGGGCGCGCCAGCGGCGGCGCTGGAGGGGCCACAAGGGGGGCCCAGCTCCGATCCACGAGATCGGCGCGGAACTTCGAAAGCCTGAACGTGTGTTTCTTTACCAGAGGCCTCCCCGATCAGATCCATGTAGATGGGGTCGGATGATCGCGCTGCATCGCCGACGCATCGCCGACGCATCCGCGATACATCGGCGCCGTCAGCGGGAAGAACATCGGGCTCCACATCGAGACGCATCGCCGATGCATCGGCGATGTGGCGCAATCCCCCGACCCCATCTACTCGGACCCCATTTTGGGAAGCCTCGATTTTCTCCTCTTCGAAGACCCGCCCGCCGCCAGGGCGTCCAGGTGCTTCGCGGCCGCCGGGCAAGCCTTGCACCATGGAGCGAAGAAGTCCACCACGACCGGGACCCCTGCTAGTTGAGACGGAGCCAAAGCGAGGATCAAATCGGGTGAGGACGAATCGAGAACCCCAGAGATCCAGAGGCTCTGGAGGATGTCTCGGGCGCCGCGGCCTTCTTAGAACGTTCCTGAACGCTCTGAGAACGTGCTGGAACGCTCTGGAACGGACTCATCCTCGTCCTAGCCCCGTCCGGCCTGCGGCCGACAGCAGGGCGCGCAGCGTCGTCTGCTCGGCGCCGCCTGCGGGCCCGGCAACCTCGAGCGGGAAATCCTGCACGGCGCAGCCGACGAAGCTGGCGGGCGCCATAGGTCGTCCAAGGTGCGAGGCTCGGAGGATGAGGACGCCTCACACGGGGTTGTCGGAGAGCTGACAGGTATGCCCCGGTGCGCGCGGCTCAAGGGCCTGTGTAAGCCAAAGCGGCGGCGGCGGCAGGCAAGCAGTGCAAAAAGGGGAGAAAGGAGAGGAGAAGGGTGACAAGACAACAGTGCCTAGATGGATCGGAATCGGCTGTCAACCTGGTCTTAACAGGAAGGCAGGGACAAGTCGCAAGCAGTGCTCGCTGCGGTCTTTGCAGCCTTCTTTGCTTTCGTCGCATCTGCACGCTTCGCTCGCCTTGCGGCTGACTGCGGCTTGTGTTTCAGGTGTCGGTCAATAGAGAGGAGCCGAACATGACAGTCTTTCGAAACCACAGACTTGCCGTCGCGGTCCTTGTCCTCCCAATCGGCACTGTCGTAGCCAATCTGGGCAGCCGAGACGTCGCCCCGGTCGTTGCAGTCGTAGCTCAGCATCTCGTCTGAACTGTCGGTCAGACTGTCTTCGGCAGACGGCCTGGACCGCGTCTTCGGCGGCTTCGGCGGCGGCTCGGGAAAAAGAGCCGGCGTCGCAACTGAAACGGCAATATTCTGTTCAGCAGCATTCCGGTATTGCACTTTCCATTGTACGCTCTGTCTGTTGACCCTCTGCCTGTCTCTAAGATTCTTGGCAGACATCGAAGGCCCACGTAAATTCACTTCTCTTCGGTAGAAATGGTCGCGGGATTTGTCTAGAGCCTGTGGCGCATCTGGCGCTTTGCTCTTCGCCGTGCGCTGCTGGTCGACCTGCTGATGCTTTGTCAGGATGTTGTATTTCGTCTGTGCGTGCAGCTGCTGCCTGTCCAGGCTCACTGCTCGTTCGGCCTGTTCCTGTCAGATCAGGTCCTGGACCTATGCTGCCACTGATGTCTGGAGGGGTGGACGCAGGCTTACTGGCAGAGGTGAACGACAAGGTACCCGAACGAATCGGCGAGAGCAAGTTGCGGGGGGTTCGAATTTGGCTTCGCAAGCGGTGCTGCGACCACGTCGGGATCCGGCTGCCACCTCGCATCCGCTGGGATAGCCATTCTGCTGTGGAAGCGCACAAACGAGACAGTAGCTTTCCGGATTCGCTGCAAATCCTCCTCGTAACCAGAGACCAAATGTCCGAAATCAACGCGCCAGAAAATGTCTCCGAAAATTCAAGCGCTACCTGAATGCGCCTTCGCGTCGCGAAGTTCACATCCAATGCCTTCTCTCCAGCCAACGCTTCTGTATCCTATGTGCTTATGAAAATGCGTGTTTGCTTCTTGGAGACCCGCTGGTAACGGCATGCTCGGACGACAAGCTTGTTACCCCACGCCATGTCCCCAATAAACGTGGCCATGCCCCGCTGTGGTGGCTTGGTTTTGGACGAGTCTCTGGAATAACATGCGCAAATATGCCTCGACGTCGGTCCAAGACTCAATATTCTGGGTTCGTTTCGGAGGTGCCGTGAATTTCTATTGCAATCCAACTGTGTGGAATCGTTGACAGTTTGCAATGTGGGTGCTATAGCGCTCGCGTGGAACGACCCTGTCGGCACCGTCTGGTCCACTGCCCAGATTTCAGATTTGTTCGCCAGGGAATTTGCGAATAGAGCTGTTGTCGGCCTCTGTCATTGTAGTTTTCGGCCAACGGGCGCGATGGGGTGGAACTGAAATCGTAAATCAGTTCATGCAGTACGTTTTTTGGTCATAAAACGATGTACGGCATACGCACTGTGATCTGTAAGACACAGAAAACACAATCAACAAACGACCAGCTGACCCATAGAAGAGCGAGAAACACCACTACGTTCCAAACCCACCTGTGCCGGCCATAGGAGCGTCACCCATGTGAAGGCTGATTGCCATTCTCGAAGCGGAGAAACACGCAAGGGTCCCAGAATGACTGCGCGAAACCCCGCTCCAGATGGAGCACGACGAAGACCGTGCAATGTTCTTCCCCAGCGCATCTTCCATGTGCAGTTCCCCAGGAGATTCGCACCAGCAAAAGGAGCGACGAAAACCCGTTTGTCGTTCCAGTTTGGGGTCTGCGGACGCGTCGGCTTGCAGATGCGCCTTCCTGACATCCCATGCTTCTTGGGCCCAGCCTCGGTAAGCTGCCAGTCAACGAAAACAATGTGCAGAGTGCCGGTGCAGAGTCGGACTGTTTACCACGTGGTCGTCCTTCCTTGGCTCGAAGCATCCCTGGACAGCCAGACGAATTTTCGGCTCCCCTTTACGAGCGGTGCACACGGATCTGGACGGGATTGCTGTGGCTCCAGGCGGGAGCGGCTTGACCTCGAAGTTCACCGACAGCCTGCAGGTCGCGCAGGCGTGGTGCTTCGAACACAAGGTCAGATTCGGCTACTTTTCGAGGGACCTCTTTTGGTGCTCTTCAAAGTTTTGGTTACAGTCAGAGCGTCGAGAACACTTTCGCCCGGTGCACCAACGTTTCCGGGACAGCTCGAATAGAAATCCGTGACCTTAGCCATCATAGACCACTGCTCTGGTTTGCGGAAGAAGGATTCTTCCGCATCGTCGCTAGCAGCTGCCAACAAGTCGTCGTCCGAGGGGATACGAGCAAGTGTCTGTGAATTACGTGGCGGCTCCTCGTCAAGCACATCGCCGTCCCACGGGTTGTTCCCAGAGATCCGCCTCAAAGGTTTGAGTGGCACTGTCGGTGAATGCGCCAGCGGGGGCGCATAAGGAACGCGCAGTCCCGCAGGAGCTGGTACCAGAGGATGTGGCGGCACGTGCGGTGAAAATTGAGGCGGCGCACTTGGCTGAGGCGGTGGTGCTGCAATCGGCGGCTGCAGACGCTGTCGCAACTGCTGCAGTGGAGGCTGCGCGGGAGGAGCTTCTGCGTCATCCTCCGTGGCTGGGCTGCGCTGTTTCGGTTCGCTGGGAATAACAACCCGGATCTCGACAGCGCCGTTCCTTTCGCGAGGGCGAACACGATGGCGACGAACATCGATAGCATCACCGTCAGGTGTGCGAATCCAAACATTCTGCTGGCCTTCCATGCCGAGAACTCGTGCTGGTCCTTTCCGAGCTTGGCCCGCGGTTTTGGTTTTCGGGCTTCTGTTCGCGAGCCAATCCACCTCTGCGCCTGCGTCGAGGGGCCCCGCAGGCATCCGCGAAACGAGAATACAGGATATCCCGCAAGTCTGAACAATGGATTCGGATCGCCGTCTGTTGCGTTGTCATGCGCAGGGAAGCCGTGCATGCGCATTGCTCGCTGGATCGCGGGGCACATCGCGAAACGTCGGCGGATCTGCGTCGTCTATGGCGTTGAAGAGCGAGTTGTTCCCCAGGGAAAAAATGTGCAGATTTGCCACACCGTCTCTCTATAGCATTCTTCGCTGCAGAAGCCTGCGACATGACGTCTGACGGGGATCGGCTACCCTCCGAAAGTTGCCTTTTGAACACATCGGCAATATTATAAAACATGATCTAGACAACGCCGTAGTGGCGCTCGACGACACCAGCCGCAGCAAGCGTCCAGGGAGGAACCCAAAGATGTCGTAGCCCGTGGAGCTCTAGGTACGATTCCATGTTTTGTGCTTGTATTCCCCACCGCTGTCTGTGAGAAGCTGTTATGGCAAAGAGCCGAAGACAGCTTGCCAACGCGACAGCGTCTGCAACATTTCGTTGGGTCCCTGGTCCGAGGCACGCTTTACAAGGGAAGACATCGTAAAACTGTCTACAATGTGCTGGAACACGATCGTAGAGGAGCCACCTTCACCTCGAAGCTGTCCATGCAGACAATGTCATTCACAGTGCGTGCAGTGATGCCCCCCGTGTTGGGGTGAGGGGCAGGCTTTTTGAAACGATCGCAAATCTTGCAACTGCAAGTGATCCTTTCTGCCAGAGCACGGAATTGAAGAACAGTGTCTGGCTCGAGGACTGGGGTCAATTTGCGCATGAGTTGCTCTACGCTCAGGCACCCAAAACGGGCGTGCATGATTCGCAACCCGGACTCGTTTTGAAGATTGTCCTGGAACTTCGACAATCGAGGCGGCAAAGAAACCTGGAACGAACGCGGGTGTTCTTGAACAGTGATGGTCTCATAAGCTTGCTCTGCGGTTCCACTCGCGCTGACCCAGTGCAAGCCGTGCGGTTGAGAACCATGAGCGGGAAGAGGTAATGACCAGCAGATGACGCTTTCGATGTTGTCGTGTTGCCCATCTTTTCGCAATACATCGCGTCGTTGCGAAGTCGATAATTGCACCGAGGCTTTTCAAGTCAAGGCTTCGACAACATAGATTGAATTGCTTTAGGGCCAGAACCTGTGTTGACTACCTCGAAATCCGCTTGCGATGCTATGCTATGCTCGGCACTGGCACGGTGGCTGTGCTGTCTGCTGCGTTGGTTTCGCCTCCTGCGAACTCTCACACTGAGGACGTGAGGACTCAGTGTGAGAGTGCGGACACGAGGACTCAGGACGTGAGGACTGAGGTCGTGTGGACGTCAGGACTCGCCTCCCACGTCTCCCACACGAACGCGGAACTCTCACACTGAGGACGTGCGGACAAGGCGAAGCTCTGCTACCAATTTGAGGACGTCTCACACGAGTGCGGAACTGAGATCGCCTCACGCGGGGCTGTCGGAGAGCTCACAGGTAGGCCCTGGTGCGCGCGGACCCCGCGCGCTCCCTTTTCTGGCGGCGCGGCTGAAGGGCCCCGTGCAAGACAACGCGGCGGCGGCAGGCAAGCAGTGCGAAGAGGGGAGAGAGGAGAGGAGAAGGGTGACAACACGACAGTGTACTTAAGGACCACATCCCAGAAATAATTTCGAGCACCCGGAAAAGTGTCGGGTGCCGAAAGAATGTGGAACAATGTCGGGCGAGCGTCTCCCATGGCCGGACACGTAAAAACCCTCGAGATTCGGTACTGTTCTCGTGCTCGAAATGTTCTCTGGTGATCAAGGCTGAAGCGGGTTGGAACATCATACGCCTGGATGGATGGGAAGCGGCTGTCAGAGGAGGGCCCACCGAGACCACGGCGGTCCACCCCTGGCGTTCTGGGTGCTCCTCGGGTCTCCCCGGCGCCACGGCCGGCCCAATACTCGTGTGCCGGCAGGCTGTCTCCCGAAGCTCCTTCGGAAACTCCCTCTGAGAGCTTACAGAGCAGGTGCGTTGAAAGCCTCTATGGCGCTCCGCTGCACTCAACCCGTACCATGGGTTCGCGGTAAGGATGCAGGGGCCTTGGAGGGCCACGTTCATGTTTTTTAGTGAGGCTGGCCAGCGAGAGCGGCCAAGCATGGACAGAAGATGCGAGGATGCAAGGGTACCCTTGGTGCAAGGGTGCCCATCCTTACTGTGCTGGCTGACTGTATCCAGGCTTGGGATCCCACAAGTGGACCCCCGGCGGCGACCCAGGACCGATCCTGAGCGGAGCTGGGCCCGGCGGGAGATCCGCCGCTGTCTCAACTGGCCCTCCTCCGAGAGGCGCTGGCGCCTAGAGTTAAGTGGGCGTGTCCCCCTACAGGGGGATTTTCGACGAACAAAACAAAAATACCCCAGAGATGCTCAAAAAATGATCCAAAAATAATTGTTGAACGCACCTGAAGGGGTGCACCTGGAGCCCAGAACCTTTCATCTTCGCGATGTCGTCGTCGTCGACGAGTCCTGGCCCTGGTCTCTCTTGCGTGCCCACGCAGACCCCATCCCTGTCCCCACACCATCCTGCCCATGCCCAGTCCGAGCACCCACCCGGCCACCTCAGGCCGTCCAACTCAGCCAGCTTCGGGACTCCGTTTCCGCAGGCTCGGAGCCCTTTGGTTTCGCCCGTCGTCGTTCGTCGCCGCCCCTCTTCATCCTCCCGCCCCCCCCCGTCTCGTGCTTTTCAAGACGGCCTACGAATGACTCCACGGTTTCCATGAGGCGTCGGAGATGGCTCGCGAGACCTCCGTATGGGCCATTAGAAAGTGAGAAGTCCCCATGCAGCCCACAAGACGGCCCCGAGAGGCGACACATGACAACATCTTTCGCGTTCTCGCGCACATTCGGCATTCTTCACTTCTCGATTCAAGGTGGTCCCGAAGTGGACCCCAGAAGCCCCCAAGGGACGTTGTCGATGCTCCCCAGAGAGCCCGACACGCCCTCAAAAGGGGCCAATCGCCAGGACGGCCTCCAAACCAGTCCCAAGACTGCTCCGGGACTAAATGACTAAATGACTGCAAGAGTACCTTGTCACATGACTGCTTGACAGCACGGGCGCGCGCGCGCCCGCCTGGAACTGGTCGAGCAGCGAGTAGGCGGCCCAAAGACGCCTGCAGATAGCCCCCATGCCTCCCACAAAGTCCCTGACATGCCCGAAGAGACTGCGAGACGGCCATCCCTGAATGCAGAAGACCCAAACGGTGGCAAGATGGTCCCAAGAAGGCCCAAAGATGGCTCCAGGAGGCTCCACCTCCTGCTGCCCCTCGCTATATACCCCACGCAAGAGCCAGCACAAGCATGCCACCTGCTCTCATACCGTCATCGTTATCGTCATCGTCGTCGTGTCCTGGCCCACCCAGGCCCGGATTCCAGCCGCTCCCCCCCTCTCGAACATGAGCTCTCGAAGGTCCGCGCGGAGCTCCGAAAGCTCATGCTTATGCCGGCTACACGCAAGGGTGACCCGAAGCTTAGGTCGGGCGTGCCCTCCTACAGGGCGACTTTGGACGAAAAATAAAGAATACCCCCAACATGCTCCAAAATGGTCAAACAGGATCAGAAAGAATCGTCCCCAGACTATTTTTGGACTCGTTTTGAATACTCCCCCTGTAGAGGGACACGCCCGACTTAGCCCTAAGCAAGAGTGACCATTTTGCACGCGGCTTAAAGGGGGGAGGACGCGGGATGCCCAAACCTGGGCGCGCGAGCCGCTGCCAGCGCCTCGCCTTCCGCGATCAGGGGACCCCCTTGGGGCCCGCGCCACGGGCCACTCCGGCGAGAGGACTGTGCCGCCTCGCCTCCCTTCGAGTTCCCCGTGGGCGCTCGAGGCTTCATCCCTGCCCCTGCTCACGCCCCGACCCCCCCGAGGGGCCAGAGCGGAGATGTGGACGTCCTGGCCTCCGAGACCGCGTGCTTCCGGAGGCGCGCAGCTGCACACACCGACCCGCTCGGGCAGGGTTCCGGGAGCG